TCACGTTTTCTTCAGTCTTTTAAAGTTTTTTCAAGAAAAAAAAAAGAAAGACACTATAGTTATAAGAAATATAGTAACTATAGCGAAACCCCACCATGTCTTAATGATTAAATAAAATTGAGCTGTCAAAGAATATTCTCCGCTTCACTTCATCTGGGACGTAAAGGTGGCTTGTACGCAATGCTGACACTATAGATAATTGTGTAGTTTCAACCTCCATAGTCCACAAAGGGTCATCGCGGGAATGATTTACTTTTTAAGACTAGAAAATTTTTTATGAATGTTACTTTTTTTCTTTTAACTTAATTTATAAACACAGAAATCTAGGCCTGAGACTATGCAACGATATTTAACGAGGAAATTTTTAAAAGGATATTTATCTGTAAAGGTAAATTCTAATTGAATTCTTCTAATCATTTCTTATTTGAACCAGTACATTTAGACGAGTCTCATTCTAATTGTAGTTTCTATCGTCGGGAAAGCATTCTAAATGCTAATCACTACCAATATATTTATCCTCATGGTGAGTAATTTTACAGAAGCGTTCCTTATCATTAGTGTTTTTTTTCCTTCGTCATTAAGGAAATATTCGATGATAATGGCTGCGATTTGTTGAAGCCAAAGTGAAAACTCGAAATGATGGAGGGCAATGCGCCACAGTCTTGTCAGAAGAAATAATGACAGATCAAAAAACTGTTTTTTTTATAGATCATTAATGAAAAACACCACCATCATGATATGAGTTCAGTTAGAATGCACAAAACTTAGAAAATAAAACGGTAATTTTTGTAGTTAAGAAAATAACCTTTCACAAGGGCAAGGTGACTCAAAATCAAGCTATTTATTTTATTTTTACTTCGAACAATAAAACGGAATGAATTTTTAATGAAAATCGGTTGTGGTAAAAACAATTTCAGGTACCCTTTGGGGGAAAAAAAAATACTTGAATGCAAAATAATGCTAGAGTCATTTTGCAATCAAATAAATCCATTCCACTACTGAAACAACAAAACGAAAATGCACTTAGAATAAAATTTTGTTAGACGCACGAATATTATGCAGCACAAAAAATCTATAAAGATGAAATTCTGGGTAAAAATTTGTCAAAGTTTAATATATTAAAGTGAAATGAGGAGTTTAACGGAACAAAATCAAGGGATGTACTGTACCAATCACAATCAAAGCCGGGCTATACTGTACCAATCACAAACTTTGACACACTGTAACAAAACCAAACTGTGTAATCAACTTATCTTTTAAGATACGTCTATGCTTCGAGATTGAGTGAACCATATTAAGTCGAGGCAAACTTTTGAGGTTCATTATAATTAACTAAGTAACTTACAAATACATTTTTTGCTGGCAAAATATCACAACTTTGTTACTTGTTGAAAGCCTTTCCGGAAGAATTAAATTTTTCATTCTTTCAAAATTAGATGTTACATCAGATAGTTCAATTCACTTGGTTCATTTGTATTTAGTTTATGCATAAACTGAAAAAACTATTAGAGAAACATATTTCTTTTACAGTTGAATCTGACCGTTCTCTTTGTATTAAAAAGCTCGATAGAAAATACTATTAAATTATTAAAGAAATAACACCAAGAAACTGATGCGGTAAGATAGTACTTGATTAAAAGACTTCATTCGCTTCAAAAATATACAGAAAAAGCAGTTGACATGTTTCAAGTGCTCAAAAATAGGCACCCATTTTCAAGACTTGTCAGACATGAATAAGAAGAAACAAAGATAATTTGAATTACACAAAAATAAAGTTGTCAACGAGAAATGCAAGGTAAAGCTGAGAAACAGAACTAAAGAAACTTCTGTAGCTGAGTTAACTTTAAAAACTGCGATCTTTTCCCCTGACATTTCGCTTGATTAATTTAATAAAACTAATCGAAATATTACCTAAATAATGATTGGACATATATATAATTGCAGATTTCAAAAATTGTCACTAATTTAAATAAATTGCCAAAACTCTCGGAACTCCGAAGAGCATTTCACGGAACGCTAGGGTTCCGAGGAACACGTGTCGGGAACAGCTTTACAGTTATTTCATTAAGAGAAGTATTAGCGATTCTTGAATTGCATAAAAATTGTCTGCCGTAAGTGCAATCAAATCTATGTTCGGAAAAATATGCTATTATAAATTTGAACAAATGAATCTGCGATACTCCATTAATCCAAATAAATAGTAGAAAATATTGAATTATAGACGTTAATGTGCTTAGCTTACGCAATATATATATAATTTTTCAGGAAAATATATACTTACATCAAGTAAACACCACTACACAAAGAAAGTCATTATGAAGCAAATTATTTAGGTTAAACGTTATCTACGAAGAGCATTTATTTCATCATTTCTTTAGTTATCCAAATTAACCGTTTCTTACTCATAAAATTTTTTTTTGGTTTGCTTGAAATTAGAATTGCCTTAGATAATTTTTCACTGAGAGTAGTTTGAAGAAACTTTGTCTGTAACAGTTTCTTTTTAGAGTATTTCAGATATAAAACCTGCTAACTGCAATTCATGTAAGAAAATTACTTATAATAAACAAAGATTTTTAAGTATTTTCTCAGCTTCAATAATGAACATATTCTTGTTTTAGTTTGCATTAGCCTAATGTTTTAAATTGCTAACAATGACCCTTTGACGCAGATGGATTACTGGTGTTTTTATGTATTTTTTTCTCCGACACTCTAATTGCAAGCAAATTTTAACAAAACAGTCTATTAGTCACTAAAAAAAAATATCTGTCAGATTACCGGAATTGTATTTGTACTCCAACATAAAATTAAAAAAAATTTTTTTTTTCTATTTATATTCAAAAATTTATCAATAATTAATTTTGTAAATAAAAGAAATTTCAATCATGTTCATAACCGTTTCTCTTAAATTTAAATAACTGCAAATTGTTTGGAAGTGAGCGATGCTTGGAAGATTTTGCTTTTAACGCAGAAAGAGACACCGGCATTTCACAATCATACTTTATTAAAATGCTAAATATAATATTTTTCACTTATTTTGACCTAAATAAATACAAAACAATGAAAAAAAATTAAGTTCTGCGTCAAAGGGTTAAGCTAATGCAACCTTATTTTTTTCTAATTTTCGAAGCACAATTTGCAATAGTTACATCGATGTATATAGCAAATCAACAATTTGCAACTGGGATCCTCGATTACTTTCTCAGGATTCTTAATTTTTGTTTGTTTAAATATGTTTAAGTAATGCCAATTGCACTACTACTACATGATGTGAGGAATATTCTAACTCGACAATATTTCCGTTGGCCTTACAGAGCGACCTAATTAAAAAAAGCTCTTTCTGCACCATTAAAACATACTTTTCAAAAAAGCAGGTGCATAGAAAAACTTTCATTTCTCGTGAGAAACCTATTGAACTACAGAAATTCATAATTTTCATCTTCCAAGTGGAAATAGGAAAAACACATTTTTTTAAATAAAATTTCTCGACGTCACACCTTTCCCCCCCTAGAAACATATGCCGTGTACTTCCGCCTGATCTTGATCATGTGGCAGGGGTCTATCGGAAGTACTTTGTTGTAAGGTTGAACACCCCCTTCTCAACAGCTGGTTTATACAATAAAAACATCTTCCAGATGGAATATCCATGGAGTAGTACGAAAAATTGTAGCAGGTGTGACCCCATTGTAGTTTACTACCCTTGTCTTGCTCTTACTACGGTTTGTTTACATTGAGCAAGAGTGAAACGATTTCCGAGCGCAGTGTTGAAAACAAAATTCGAAGTAAACAAGCTAAAATATAGAGTACGGAGTTGTTGATAGAACTGACAAGCTCTTCAAAACTTCTACCAACTCATTATTTCATAATAGCGATTACAAAGTTTTATCTTAAGTAGGAAAAAATTTCCTATGTATAATGGAAGAGGTTTTAAAAAACACAGCAGAAACTGATGGAATTTTCTGGCTCTTCAATGAAAGTTTTTGTAACAAATATAAAATTTGTTAAAAAAAAATTGCGGGGAGCAAGTATATAAATAAGTTGTTTTTCAATGCTAATTAAAGGTTCTAAATCAATACAAACTTTTAAGTTAGCAGACGTAAATTTGAAAAAAAAAAAAAAAAAAAATCAAATAAAATTGTTCACAATTCATTATATGTAATTTCTTCACATTTACACTGAGTGCAAGGTAATTACAGATATAGAAATTCAATAAATATTATTCAATTTTAACCTTCTTTATTTAATAACTTGACAGAATAAACCCATGCTTGATTTCACTATATACTGCCGTACAATTGGAAAAAACTCAAGTGCTTCACGAATGAGTTGCAGGTACTTCTTTTTCCCCCCAATTGTGAGGCAGTATACATGTTAAATTCCTCCATCATGGTCTTTAATCCTAGGAATATTCACAACATTAATTAAAAATAAATTTAAAGCATTTCTTCAGGTTATTTTTATTACTGGAGAGGGTCAAATACCATTTTTAATTATCGATTCACTAAAAGCATTTTACAATTTTTTTAACGTTAAAAATTTTTTAAATTATAGATTATTTTGTTACCTTTCATTCCGAGATGATAAATCAGCCTGTCTCACTATAAGTTGCGATATCTAGCTTCTTTTAGAATAAAATTTAAACATTACGCAACTCGGTATTAAAAACCACACAAATGTTACAGAAGAATGTTTCTTTGGGAATTTACATCAACCTTTTCGTCAACTAAAATAAGTAAACAGGAAACCCTTTATGCTTCTATTGAACTCGTTCCAAAATGCCACGTTATCCTCTAAATTAATAATATTTGCAATTTATAAGAGATTTATTTTCTAATTGAGGGAAGCAGCGTTGCTCTTTTCAGCAAAAAATAAAAGCCTCCTTTTCACCTTGATAGGCTTACATGATAATTTTTATCAGATTATTATGTAAGCATATCAAGGTTAAAGGGAGCCATTTATTTTTAATTGAAATGTATCTTTAAACTGAAATAAGCAGAAAAATATTTATCCAAAAAATTCAAACTTTATTACTCAATTGTAATTATAAATACACAAGCTAAAATAGCTTGAGTCACTGTGGCACTCAAAAATAGACAAATGATATATAAAATAGAAAGATTTTTCAGTCTGCATATCATGATATCATTTTTTCCCACCCTAAGCAGATGACAGCCAGTTGGTCTCTCATTGCAATAGGCAAAAAAAAAAATAGCTTTTACACATAACATTATCACATATTCGATTTCAACTATTGCTTTTCTCAATATATTTACAGGAATGGACACATAAAATACACAATAAAATTGGAACCCTATAAAATGAAAATTGTAGCAAACATTGGACCCCTTTTTTTCATAACCAGCTGTCTTTCAAAAATATATGCAGAACAATAAATTCGCTGCAATTACATTTGATGAAGATGATAATGAATAAATGCATAGAATACGTGAAAGATGCCATCATATATAACAAGAAAAATATGTAAAGATAGGCACTTTTAAAAAACAGCACTTAAAAACACATGGCAGTAAACACTACAGAGTCAAGAATCACATTCCCATACGAGATAGATGTGTAACAAGTAGGAACAAGTATAAGAGTTAAAACATTTAAATTTCCATCTCCACTTTTCAAACACGAAAGAAATTACAAAATACACATTAAAAAAAATCAATCTAGAAAATATTAAATATGATGTTTAATTAATTAGAAAAAACGAAACACTTTTACACTTAATGAAAATAAACTGCCCAAATATGAATGATTTTTTTTTTCAATATAGGTAAATCGCAAAGATAAATTTAAGAAAAATAAAAGGAAAATAAAAAATTTCACTAGTGCCAAATCTGACAGAATTAACATGCAATCAGAAAAACGAAACTAAATATATTTCGATACGCGATAGAATCTTTATCATGTAGATTTTAATGTGAAGAAAATTAAGTTTATTACTTGACGGTTAAAGTTATTAATTAAAATAATTTGGCACCGATGAAATTTTATTTTAATGAATTGATTTAAATATAAAATAAATAAATGATCACATTAATCAGTCTAATTTTATTAATAAATACTAATAAATTCTATCTTCAATCAAGTATGTAGTACATACTTTTTGATTGCAATTTCTGCAGTAGACTGCACAGTCAAAATAAATAATTAAATTAATATCACACACCTTCATAAAAGGGCATACAGAGCATTATTGCACAATTATCTGCAATTAAAAAAAAAATAAATCTGTTTTTGAGGAAGGGAAATGTTGAAAAGTTTATAAATGGAATGAATTTAAAAATTCTTGTGTAAACATGATATAAAAATATTTGAGCTTTTTTTTTTTTTTTAGAATTATAAGTTACACAAATGTTGTTTTTCAATGATAAAGGCACTTAATGATTGTGGCAGCATTAAAACTGTATGAAAAGAGTTATATCAACACACATTTCAACTTAAATGTGAATGGACACAACTCTTAGTCATTAAAAATGTTTCATTATAAAAGTCTTTGCAAATTTTAATCTAAAACTCATTAAACATCTAAACCTTTTCCATCCAGTCTTCTTGCAAAGTCATTGATGACATCTCTGAAATTTAGTGGATCCAAATTTTTCGACAGCAAGTCGATGAGAAGCCAGTCACCCAGTTTGCACTTGTTGATGATCGTTTCAAGATAATCTGGATTGGCAAGACGCGCTCGGGAACGAGTAACCATCAAACGGGATCTCGGGTAAAAAACGATCAAAGCTCTGTAAAGTAAGACAATTCCGGACAGAATAGCAAGAATGATGAACCAGAACCACAGGAAGACGTAGATTTTTTCGTTGATTATGTTGATGGGTAGGATACACATGGCATCGTGACGTTGCACATCACCAGAAGAACCATATCTGTGAAAGGTACACTTGGTAAGACGAGGGAATACTTTAATCATGGGATCGTAGCGAACAGACCAATCCCAGCCAGTGAATTGGATTACCTTAGAGCCGTAAGTCGAGAATTCACCCCCAAGGAAGGAATCCATTAGAAAAATCTGCCCTACCACATTCACAAAGTTCATAACTTCAGCCAAGGCATAGCTCATGAAATAAACACTGTGATTGTTGAGATTGCTATACATGTACTCGATTAAAAGCTTTCGGTTGGTCGTTTTGGTCTCCTCTGGTAAAATAGGAGAATTCAGGCCCAAAATAAGATTTTTAACCCTACCGCCTTCCATAGCTTTCCAGAAGTATCTAGGCACATAGAACAAGATAGCTTGCAGAAACAGAACGAAACAAACCCACTGATAATAGGCATGGTAGACACGTTTTTCACCCGGAGTGTATTTATCTACTCCAGGATATGGCACTTCCTCACCCACTTTTTTGAACCACGAGTCCGGTAAACTAAAAGTCGTATGTATCCAACAAAAAGTATCTAGTAAGTCCGACGGTATGTCATCTTTTGATATGCAATCAATTGGGTCTCCAATATATTGCCTGCCTGTTACAAGAATACTAAAAGCAACAAGAATTACAGCAGTAGCTTTGTAATGCAAACGGAATACATTGTTGTCTATTGTTGTAGCATCTGTTTTAAAGAAGCTCTTCAAGCCAGAAAACAAATCCATGGTCTGTTACCTGAAAGATCAATTTTAGAAATCAGATATAGAAGATAATACTTAGATTAGGATACAGAAATAGAACAGCAGTATACGAGTATAAAACCAACAGTGTCCACACATAAATCATGACATGACACTCTAATCATTATATCGAAAGTTATTATGGCCGCTTAGATTTCTCATTATTTACACATTTTTTTAGGGGGCACATCCGAAAATTTCAAAAGTGAGATTAAACTCTAAAAAGAAAGGACTTTTTTAAGTTACTAGTCTGTTTTATGATCAGGTTCTCTAAGTATTTTTCATACATAGTTAGGAAGCTCCATCCAATGATCTCTGCTAACCAGCCATTGCTTCGCATTTATCATTGTTTTTCTCTTAGAAGTCGATATCCCTCCCGAAAAAAATAAACAATGCACATTTTGTTCTTTTAATAATTGCATGTAAAATCATTTAATTAGTATGTTAACTTCAACGCCTGGGGCGATTACCCGAATTTGAAAATTAATCAGCTGTACTTTAATGTCAAGACTTCGCATCTAGCAACATTTCGCATTTTTTCCCCAAATGTTTTTTTACAACATCAACTTAAGTATGAGCTTATAAAAGTAAAAAAAAGAGAGCATAAAATTTCAACTCTACAGCAGCATTTCTGAGTGTAGCAGAGTGGCCTGCATGGTATTTTTTCTGCAGGTTAAACAATTAACATTTCTCGAATTAATTATTGCATGTTACATCTTTTAATTTCGTGATACTCCCGCTTTCCATTTTTCGACACATCTTCTTAATTTCAAGCTTTTAATTCTTATAGTTTTTGAGCAGTTGAACACTCAAAACAGGGCGGTTCCTGCGATTTCTAATACATACAGAGATAAAAACTAAACAAACATTTGCTACTCATTCTCCTCACTTTAGACGAACTGCGTAACATAATAAAAAATTTGCTTTCGCTTAAGTCTGCTTTCACAATTTACATTTTATATTTTAAATCATTTATTTAAAGATTATCAAATGATAAATACTGAATTACAATGTGATAATCAATCTGATCAAAATCAATTTAAAAACTCATGAATAGAAAACCCACATCGTACACTATCTGTCAATGGAGGAAAACATAAATTAAACGCCATGAAAAGATATTTCAGCGACAACAAATAACCTATAAAAAATTTCATTTGTTCCAGGCTGTTGCGTTTTGTTCACTGTGCCAATAAGGTGGAGCACTTTATCACATTTGTTTGACGCGCAATAATTAGGAAGTAATTTGCGCTGACGGAAAAAAAATGATAATAAACGCTACTAAAAGATGACAACGGCAAATCAGAAGAACAAAAAAATACACCTGGGAAAAAGGGTGGAAATTAGATTACGAAAAAACTTGCTACTGAGCTTGTATTCAAGACTCAAGGTTGACGAAAAGATAGGTTCCTGTCACTGCTTTTAAAAAAGACATCTATTTCTATTATTTAGAAGACCTTAAACATGTATTAGGTGTGGGCGTTATAACTACTACAACAATAAGCCTAGAACTTGAAGATAAATTTTTTGCTTCTTTAGGTACGAAGAAAAACACTTAGAACATTTCGCAATGCTAACTTGTTGTTAGAGGGGAGCATAGTAATAATGTTAATGAAGTTACGAAATCAAACACAAAAATGTATTTTATTTCGTAGACATAACTTTAAAAAAAATAAATAAAAAAAATTAAAAAAAATAAAAATAAAATAAAAAACGACATTGTATTTATAATAAGTCCGAATTGTGAATATAATGTTATTTTTTGTACAAAAATATACCTCAATTATTTAAAATAAGATATTTTTTCTTTTTGGTTACAAAATTTTTGATAACTATGAATGAACTTCCGGTATCGTTAAAAAATAAGCAAACAACTCCACTAATTAAAACTAATCACAAATTAAATTAATTACCATTAGTCTTTTAAAGTACACAAAAATTTTATTTCGCCAATTAAAATTGCACAAAAAAGAATGTTGATTAATTAAATAACAAATTCAATCTAAACAATAAAATAATATATTACACCATAAAACAGAAATTATTAATAGCATATAAAATTTTTATTACATAAAATATAGTAGTTCTGCAGGGACGTAAATAACTATGCTGCAAACATAAATTGTTCTAAAGGAATTTCGATTGTTCAGCGACATAAGTTACAATTTCGAGCACTTTCTGCTTTAGGGCACAATCATACCTCAAAAGATAAATTAAGCTTTAAAAGAGAGCAGCCAGGCTAAATAGTAAGATTTTTAAGGGACGCGATATAATGAAGAAAAATAGAATTACCCCTATGAAAAATAATTGAAGCCTTTCAATTTTCTGAAAATATCTGAATATTATTAAATTTAAATTACAAATTACGATAATTTTTTTTTGTAAATATATAAACATAACATGATTGAAAATTATGCTCTTTTAAAATCTATGCATGGAAAACCATAACAAAACATCAGGCTACAACCCTAAGCTATTTACAAATCCTTTCCCCTCGCTTCGAAAGCACAGAGGTCTCATATAAACTATTCAAATGTACAATTAGGTACCGCAATGAGCCGCAGGTTGAGCACACCTTTTCCATTTTCTATGAATAAAATTCACTTCTTTTATAAGTAAATTAATAAAAATAAATACGTAACATTAATTAGTTGCAGATAGGAAATGCACAAGAAACGGAAATGATTAACTTTAATTAAATGATTTAAACTTTATTTTGGGATATAATTACTTATTATTTCATTCAATAAAATAATTAGCATACAAAAAAAACCGTAGGAAAAAAAACGATATTTTTTATATTATTTTAATCTCTATTCATACGAAAAAAAAAAAAAAACTTAAACCTGAAATTCTTGAATGTAAATGTAACAAAGCGTGAAATTAAAATGAACAATAGATTAAAAGAAACAGTAAGTCTAAAATAATTTTCCAAGACTTTCGATTCCGGCAAATTTTCAGAAAAGACGCAAATATAAAACTGCATATTAGGTCAAGAGTAAAATTAATGATAGTTTCTTTTTTTCTTCACAGAAATGAAATGAAGTGGAACGTACACAATTTTCTTTTTTAACTCATTTGAGTAAGAAATCCCATAATGTGATATAAAATCCAACGTTAAGGAATTCTAAGTGAATAAATAAATACACCATTGTTGCAACGATAAAAAAAACTTTCATTTAAAATTATGTAATTGCATTCAATATTTTGATCAATGCAACCTTGGTGTTTAGTAAACATTACTAATTTCTCTTTAAAAGCTTTCAGATTGTTTTCTTTGCTTTACTATTAATTTTTTTTTAAAGATTCTGTCCAATTCTAAGTTTGATTTAAAGCTTACAGTTTTAAAGCTTACTGTATTTTTATCATTTAGACAAATATAAAAATAGATACAAAATTCTTGGTAATTATCTTATGAAAAATATTCTTGGGAATACTCTTCAGGAAGAATATTCTTTCAGTAAATATGTATAAAATTAATGGCATTTTACTTGTGAATAACCAACTCAAAAATTTTAAATAATTAGAGAACAAGCGTAATTATTAACAGTTAACAATTTTTATCGCATCATTTGTAAATTATTAAAACATTTCAACTATGGTTAAGAATAAAATAAGATTATATTTAAAATGAACCGAGAAATATTTCTTGAGACTTGTTTTCATAACATTGAAGTAATAAAAATGATCAATTAATAAATTTGAATACATTTAAAAAAAAATCAATATATTTCATTCGAGATGATAGGATAAAATAGCTATAGTGCAATAAATTAAATAGAACATTCTCTGAAAATTGACCTCAAAACATTCAAAATTATTATTTAAAATTAAACGAATGCCCTTGTTAGATATCATTTTTTATTTTTGAATTTTAAATGTTAAATTTTAAAATCAAAGGTATTTATTTATTTAAATCCGTTTTTCAGATCAAAGAGGAAAGAAGGCTTTTATACTTAATTTTTTATTATTATATTAATATAATTTTTATTATTATAATTTTTTTAGTATATATATATAGTATTATATTTATATTATTTTTATTATTATAATTTATATCCATAAGTAAAAAGAATATTCTCGATTACTCGTCAAATATCAGCCTCATGTACGCCTCAGATATGTAGTCAAAAATTATTTTTTCCCAATATTTCGGCAATTATTTTTCAAAAAATAATTTACTGATAGCACACACAACTTTTATAATTCAATTAAAAAAAAAAAAAAAAAAAACTAAGCCCAATTTATTAAATTGTTACTTAAAATTATTGAGTTCTCTCACAGCGTAAAAGGGCTCCCTTTCTAACTCAACATGGATAATGGAACTAAAATAAAGAAGTAAGGATCTTAGACAGGGTTAAATAGCAAAAATGCATTTTTTTCTTCCAAGCTTATGGTTTGGTGTAAATGTCATTTTTTAAGTTAAGAGAAACGTTAACACACAAATCTGATCTTTTAACAGAACATCCTCACATACAAAAATTAAAATTCTGACCGCTGTTTCGGATTGTCGTTATAATCTATGATACAACACATTTCCGAAAATTCAAGTGAAAAAAATTATATAAATGAAATTTAGTGTAATACACATGTCGTTCGATAAATGCAGTAATGATTCTTTGATTTAAAATTACAGTAAAATAAAATAGGGCTCTTGAAATAAGATCCTCTTTTTTAAGGGTCCGTTTTGATGATAAACCAAATTTCTCCCACACAAACCCCTAAAAAAATTTAGCTACCGAATTAAATTTATATTTAAAAGATGTTGAATCTTTTACTATAAATTTAAAAGTGTTGTTGTTATCAATTAATTCTTCTTGATCTGGCATCAGTCAAATTCATGAGTCTGTGAATCCCAAAAAGATCAAGCACCAAAATAGGAATAAGTTTTGCAAGGAATAAGTTTTTAAGTTCTAGATTTATGCAAGTAAGAATATAATCGGGAGAAGCTGGATTGATCATGCACTTGCACATGTAGGGAAGACACTGTTTCTA